GGGGGGCAGTCCCTGTAATCAAGCTCATTGCAAAAGATAAAATTATTTCACAGGAAAAAAGTAAAAAGGACTGCTTTTAACCACTTATACCTTCCTCGGCTGTGCTTCACAGCAATTATAAACTAGTTACCTACAATTTCAGTACATGAAACAGGCTTTGTTTAGTGTGAACTGCAATATGCACTTCACATGGCTCAAGTCTGATATAGGTTGATTTGACCAAAATTTGAGGACATGGCAATGTGCAGAACTGTGTTCTTCAGCTGTAAGCCTGATGCAATGATTTCTGCAAACAGGAAAAAGCTAGCTTACTAATAGCTATGCCCTAATCTTGGGTTCTTCCCATAGGGAAAAAGACACAGGAGGAGTAAATGAACAAATATCTATTCCATATGCATTTACTAAGTGCTCATGTCATAGTCCGAAGAGCAACCAGTGGGAACAACATTTAATTGAATTGTTCTCTACAGAGAGTTCTGTAGCTGGAGTCGTATTTTCAGGAAGCTATTACTTAGTGCTGTTTCTTTGCCCTTCAGTAACTCATGCACTCAAACACCTTCAGGAAATATGTGCAGATGAAGATAATAACTCCTATAACAAAACCAGTAGCCATGGCCCTCAGAATTCCTGAAGCTTTCCGGTTGAGGTGACCACATAGAACAGCTGCCCTCAATCAAGCCTCATTCTGCCACTTACTTAGATCACTTAGTTTTGTAGCTGCCAATGTTCAGAATCTGCAAGCCTGGTGAGGCAGTGGCCCATATCTCATTGCCTTGTACATGACACAGAAGCTAAAGGAGAAAATCAAATCTAGCCCTGGCTCCTAATATTATTTATTTTATTTTTTTTAACCGATTTCTTAGCCCTTTTGACCCCAACAAAACCATCATCATTTAGAAGCTGTAGCAGCTCCTTTTAATTTCAGTACGCTACCTGAATCCTGTACAATATTTTTTAACCACTGAACAATTGCAAACCATCACATTACAGACAGAGATGAACATACTAGCCAGAGTTTGTGATGTATACCTGGCCTTTATCCTAACAGGATCTGGATTAATCAGGCTAGAAATCCCACACTGATACCTTGGAAAACAAATACATCGTCCAAACCACTGATACGTTGTCCACAGGCACACTAGTAAAGTAACTCTTATGCTTCAAAGGAAGGTACTTGCAGGAAATGGAGGGGGTAGTTTCACTTAAAATCCACCACAAAAACTGTGCTCATCAAAACTAGGGTATGCTTAACTAAAAAATATCATCTTTTAATCTGCAGCCTCATAGCCAGGATTTACCTTTCCTTTATTTCTTAGTGTGATGTTGTGCCATCTCCTTAGCCAATATATTGAACAGCTTCTATCAATTAGAAAAAATTGCACCTAACCTTCAAGAGATTAAAGACAAAGTTCTTTAAACATCTTTAACCCTTAACTATAAGTCACATGTATTCTGTATTTTGCTGTCTTGTACTTCGTACACAGTCACAAAAGGAATAAAACATTACATAATCCAAAAGGTAGAAAACTAGTCCAACCCCAAATGCTGTTTTACTTTTACTTTTGGCTTTCTTCCTGGAGTCAAAGGCCATCGAAATAGGAGTATGTGCACTGTAATATGATCAGTTCAAGTAATTAATTGGCTATTCAGATCCTTGCTGTTCTGAGTTAATGAAAGAACTGCCTAATGTCACTTAAAGTGGGAGAGTATTAGTGACTGCAAGAATAAAGACAAACAGAAGTGCTGGTAACTATTTTTCCACTCACTTGATAACCAAAGTGTTTACTTAAGTGTTTTGTGGGCAGATAATTATCCAACAGGACTTCATCTTTATTCAAGTATGGGTGACCAGAAAAAACTTTAAGTCCTAATGCACATAAAATGAACTGAGTAACACAGACCTGATTAGATAGATCACATAACTGGAATAGACAATGACATGGCTAGGGAGAAAGGACTGGCAGACAAAGAGTGTCTGCCATGTATATTAAATAGACATACTTGAACTGAGGTTCAAAACTAAGTGGGAGACAACTCAGGAATTTTCAACAGATCTGATGTAGAAGGCAAAATCAGCAAGGGCCAGGTCCTAGTGGAGGAATCTATAGACAAAAGCAGGAAGGAGAGAGAAAGTGAGGGAGCAAGAGAAATCCAAATGAAAGTATTCTGGTGTTTAGGACAAGAAAGAAGAGTATAGAAATACTGTGACCTGCTGAGAATGTAATCCTGTTGACAGACAGACATACAGTTCAGATTGTTTGGTGGAAAGCACTTACCAATTTGCCTTTCACTAGTATAGAAAAAAAACTGCTAGTGAATCGAAGGTGGGAGGCAACTTGGGTACTAGGGTCCATGATATGACATTGGCAATGCTAAACATGACTACAGAGTAAGTTTGCTAGACATTACAAAAGGCAAACTAATGAACTGAACAGTAGTAGATAGGATTCCATGCAAATCTAAGGGGGGGGGGGGGGGGAAGGGGGGGG